CAAGGTGCTGAGCACTTCAGCCTGACCCAGGGAAATGCTAAAGCAGCACATTTTAAGATCAGACTTGCAGCATCTCCGCTACCATTGCGTGATGCCAAGCTTAGCTGGATGAGGACAGAGCCCTCGGCCCTTTGCAGAAAGGGAGCCTAGAAGGGAAGCTGCGTTTCTCACAACGGATAGACCGACGCCTCTGCAAGGACGTGCTCAGAAATAAACCTTCGAGTGGCCCCAGCCGTCAGGCGCCCAGCCCTCGTGTCAGCGGCAACATCAGCATTGGACCCTTTCGCTAAGTTTTATCAACGCCTGCGCCGTCTGTTAGCAAATACAGCGTCAGCGGATGAAGGCCCCCGCAGTCTGTCTCGCCAGAAAAAACTACCCCGGCCGAAGTTGGAAAACTTTTCCGCTCCCTGGCAGCATTTATCCGTACGCTCTGATTTCCCGTGAAAGCTTGCACCCTCTTTCTCTACCCAGCCAACTATTCACTTCGTTCATTAATGGCAAGAGGGATTTACATTTGATCTGAACAGCTCTAATACAATTAATACAGCAGGTCTCCCGCATCTTGACTCTCTGCTTACCCTAGGACAGATATCAGGCTTCACCCCCAGAGGCATCATCTGTACAGACTCACTAAACTCCAACCCCAAATTACTTCTTTAAAAAAATACCTCTTATTTCGCAGGAGATAAAGCCAGCGGCTGCGATGCCTCGTGCTCATCATTCCCGGGAGCCAGCGGGGAGGGCAGAGTAGACGCACGTGTCCGGCGTCACGTTTTCCATCTCGATCCGTCCCTCTCGAGATGCTCTTCCATCTCCTCCGGCGGCTGCAAAGAAAAGCTTCGTGTGGGTGCCGTTTTCAAACAGTACGGCGAGGCACAGCCCGCCGGGCACCGATAGCGCTCCTTTTGCATCTGGAACGGACCTTCCCCGACCCAACATTTCTCTGCTGGCATACACAACGTGACAGCTAGCCCTCACCCGGCCTTCGGCAGGAGTGAAAATAGCCAAATCTTACCGTACCGCTTGCCACGAGTCTTGCCCACCGCTCCCGTACCGCTTGCCACGAGACTTGCCCACCCCTCTTCTCCTGGCCCCGCCGGGACGGTTGTTTGCAACCGAAGTTCATGAGCAAGCCCCTGCCCAAACCGCGAAGGGCAAGCAGCGAGCGGACGAGCCCTTCTTTAGCGAGGCCACGCAGAAACGGGCAGGACCCAGCTCCTGCCTTACTAAAACTGCTAAACTGTTCGTGACAGGTTGCTGTCATCGCATGCAGCTCCCCCCGTGAGTCTTTGGATGAGATTCGAGTTATGCGTACTTACAGAGGATGCGTAAGCACGTACTGCTTGCTGTTGTCACTTAAATCACTTCAAGTTCTAGGCAAGAAATATATTAAGATTTTTTTTAAAAAAAAAAACGATTTACAAATTCGGGAAGAGGAAAGTGACATAGAAAACCCATTTGTCCTCTGATTGACTAAGTTTGCACTAAGTTTGGAAACTAAATTTACTATTTAAACCGAAACAGTAGATTTTAGCGGTGCTGAAAGCATTAATTTCAACTCCTCTTAAACCACGAATCTCCAGCGAGTCTCTCAGTAATAACAACAAGAAGTTTTGCATACAGATGACAGGTACCCAGCGCCTGCAAAGCGCTTTGGCAGTTCTAGCGGCACCTTACCCCCGGCTGCGGCAAGAGGGTACCCTAAAAATCACACCTTGCGTTCGCCAGCCATTCTACCGAAGACTTTTATGGCCAGTTCCTCCAGGCTAAAAAACTGGCCCCGACATTTGCCACCCGCAG